TGTATCTTTTTGTGCACCTTTACTCTATCTATGGTTCGTAAGCCACCTTCCCAAGACCGGTCCATTCTCTGATACTGCAGGTACATCGGAATGGTCCGAACATTTGATGAGATTTTCTGTTGAAGATATTGTCTGGTTTGATAGGGATGTACTGGGTATTGAGATTATTTATAGTTGTGGAAGCTTTCCTAACATCCCGCTGGTCGGAAGGAAGGGTTGCATAAACTATAACCCGTCCATTGCAATCATACAATTTGGGTATGCATTGAGAAGTCCTCTGAAGGATGAAGAGATACATGAATCTTTGTATCTCACTAGTTTATTAGAAGGGGATACCTTAGCTAGAGTTGAACATGCCTGGAGCAATGTCCATAGAAGAGCCTATGACCCCTATTTGGTTTGGATTCAGAGTAGAGCCGAGAAGCTGATGATGCCATACCCGTCTGCTAAGCCTGTGTGCCCTCTTGAGATTGAAGAACCCACTACAGTAGACATTCAGAAGTACAATCAGGTACTGTTTGAGAAGGAAGAGTTGATAAAGGCTAATGAGGAATTGGAGAAAGAGATCATCCAGCTTCGAAGTGAGAAGATTGATGTTGTTCATTCCTTCAAGAAACAATTTGAGCTTGTAAACAAACTGGGTATTGATCTGACCAAGGAGACCAGTTCAAGGGAGCGTTTGGGTATGGATTTCAAGGCCATTAACAATGTTCTTGCTACTAATAAGGAAGAGTTGGATAGGGCTTACTTGAGGATTTCTAAGTTTGAGAACCAATGGAATGCCACGCTTACCTGTTGCACCCTAAAATTTGACCAAACTCACTACAAGAAAATTAGAGTTTTACGACACAAAAGTTGCGACAGTTACTTGATAACTGTCGTAACTCTAATATAGAGACGCGTTTCACGACAGTATACACCTACCGTCCTTATATTTTTAAAAGATTATTAAATATTGCGACTGTTATCATTAAGCCGTCCTACAAATAAGTTCATGACTGTCTCAAGTGCCGCCCTAAAGTTTATGTCCCGACGGTAGAACAACTGTCGCCCCTTAAACCCAGTAACACAAACTATAACCAATAGCGGATCTAAATAAGTCTATGTATTTTAAATAAATAAATGACTAAAATCATTTATAAAATATAATTATAGTAATAAATTAAACTTAAAATACATAAAAATGAAAATATTATATATACTCAAAATAAACTTTAATTTTAAAAACAATTTTTATAGTAAAAATTAAATTCAAAATATTATATCCAAAATTAAAATATTAAAATTAAACTATATATCAAAATTTTAGAAACAATTTTTATAATAAAAGTTAAATATAAAATTAAATTATATATACCATAATCATAATATTATAAAATACTAGATAAACAAAATAATTCAGGCAAAATAGAGAAATAAAAAAATATATTAAAATAAAACGACTGGAGCTACCGTCGTTAGTTCAATCTTGTGACGGTAATATCAACCGTCGTGCTCCAAAGTTTCGTCTTCCCGCAAAAACTCATCCACGTATTTTTCACTTAAGAATTTGCCGCTTTGCCGCTCACGTTCTTGGAGAAAGAGGGAAGGGAAACTGACATTTTTCTCAACCTGAAGCTGTCATTGCGAATCACCGAAGCTGTCATTGCGAATCACCGAAGCTGTCATTGCGAATCACCGAATCACCCTCAAAACAACCACCATCAATTCAAATCTTTACAGGTTTGTCTTCTCAAACCCTAAATCGGATTCTGGTTTGGATTTTACTCTGAATTTTGTATCTAATTGGTTTTGATTAAGCATTATGTGTTAGATTTCTCTGCTTGAGAGTTAAATTTGTGTAAAAAAAATGGATTATGTGTTAGATTTCTCTGCTTGAGAGTTTAATTGGTTTTGAATTCAACTACTGCTTCGGTGAGGATTTCTAGTTCATTGATAGAACCAACAGTATCAAAGAAATCATCTATAACTGTGATTATAATTGCAGTTTTAGCTATAAGCATTTGAACGTAAGAGTCGTGAGGGAGGGATGTTAAACTTGCAGCAACAGCAAAGTAACAATAAGTGCTTTTTTCTCTGTCGAATCCCATATTACTCAAACCACACTTTTCAACCCACCTACATATCGAAATCAAATGTAATCATCCACTAAGATTCGTATGAATAAGATTCAGATCAAACTAATTATTGGAAATTTTAGTATACCTCTTAAGTTCATTAAGTTATCAGCTTGTTTCCCATATTTATCAGCTTATTAAATCAGCTTGTTTAAATCAGCCTCCATATTTGTTTAGTTGATTTATGTCCTGCAGTAGAATATAATCAGGTTGCATGATTATTTCTGCCGGACCTCCTTGATTAGTAGCAATCTAAATGCTTCATACAAAGCAGGTTGCACAAAAGCTCCCTTTGTATCAGCAATGCAGCGATACAGCTCTCCGTTGCGAAATCGATCAGTCTGCGCAGCAATCCATCTGAACTGGCCCTTTAGTTGATACTTTTGAATTAAATCATGCATCTTCTTGTCCTGCCAATGATAAGTTGCTCTACATCCTAACTATGTTGAAGTTGGAGTTAGTCCAAAAGAAAGTTTTGATATTCACTATTGTACATCCTTGCTATGTTGAAGTTGGAGTTCAGCAGTTCTGGATCATAATGGTAAGATTTAGGACATTTACTAACCGTCTGACTTAGTCATCCCACCTTGAGAAAAAATGTTCTATGGGATATTATCATTTCCCTTCTTCATGACTCCATGGCATGACTATTCCCATTAAATCATACTATGGAAACCAGTAGAAGTACATACCATATCGCTCCACATTGCTTGCGTAGTATTTTAACGAAATGATTATATATTCAAATGGGAAGACAGCATGTCATGACCTTACTTGAACAGGATCTGTTCTATAGGCTCGTACTAATGCTGTTCTTGATCTTGCTATGCATATTTGTTTAGTTGATTTATGTCCTGCAGTAGAATACAATCAGTAGTGCAGATTTGAATCCCTTAGAACCTGACTAAATGTTGCAGTAGTGCAGATTTGAATCCCTTAGAACCTGACTAAATGTTGCAGTTTAATGCATTGATCTTGCTATTTTATATGTAAGTTTAGCAAGTTTACAAAAGCTGATTATTGGATTTGGTTAGAGACAACAAAATCTTGGGCCTCCCTTGAAAGTAAGGTTCTCTTTGGCTATTGAGATGGAAGTAATTGACCTATCATATAATTGCAATTAATGCATTGCATAGGGATTGACCCACCGGTACCATATATCAAGTGGCTACGTATAACCTAGATTTAACAAATATCGTATTCTAAATCATCATAAATAGCCAAACTTAACACACAAAATCATATTCTTCATCCAACATCATACCATCCTCATCTTCATTGTCACAGTCTGACTGCTCTTCATCAGAGTCATTATCAAACCATGCAGCCTGAAAACAAAAATAAATACTAGATACCTATAATTTCCTTACTAGATACATGGTGAGCAGAAATGTGAGGAATATATATATGTAATCAGAAGTGAATCAAGTACATACCTGGTACTCTGAAGTGCCAGCAGGAAGATTCCTCTTTCTTAACTTTTTTTGCTTTCGATCTTCATCGGCCTGTGCCATTTCAGCCTCTGTTGGCCATGTCTGTCAACAAGTAATAATGTCATACCAAAACACTACTTTAGAAAACATTCTTGCAAATAAATAAACACATGCTATTAAGATAATGCCCCCACAAACTTATTAATGCGCTTTGTTTAGGGAAAAGGGGGCTGATTCTAAGCTAAAGAGTGAACTTAGACAACGGGCTACAGCTAATTGAATTATAAGATAATCAACAGAGCATGTTCTGTCATACTATATTATAAAAAGTAAAATTAGAAAATACTCTAATGCACCCAAAAACTTGTTAAAGCACTTTGTTTAGGGAAAGGGGGGCGGATTCTAAGCTAAAAGGAGTGAAATTGGATAACGGGCTACAACTGATTGAATTATAAGATAATCATCAGAGCCTGCTTTGTCATACTATACTACACTATAAAAAATAAAATTAGAAAATACTCTAATCATCAACTAAAATGATGCCAATCAATAAATTAGGACGAAAAGTCGAGTTATGATGATGCTGATGAGTGTCAATGGTTTTAAATTTAAGCCGAAATTCGCCGCGGCTTTAACAATAAACAATCCAATAAGAGGCCTTAAATTCTATTCTCCATGACATGAAATATGCAACTAAACTAAGTAATGTAGTGACAGACATAACTGTCAATATGTTTTCTATGGCATTCAAATGAGAAGTTTATTTCATTCAAAACAAGAGTGGCAAATTGTTCAGAAATTGTTAAGGTGATATCCAAACAGGATCACGTGTAGCCGAATTATTTCCTATATTTGGAAAACCCGTGGGTGGATCTTCTTATTACACCCTAACACCAATTGAAAAGTTGCAGGCTCATAGACACATTTTAACGAATTGTCCAATAGTTGACGACTATCTAAAGTAAGTAGGTTTATGCCATTTAAGTAGTTTCATTTGCATTATTAATACTTTTTTTTTACATCTAATATCAAATAACCAAATAGGCAGTTCCGAAGTATTACTCAGAATCAACTGAAGCGCAGTCAAAGAAGTGCTGCTGAGATAGATAAGAAGGTTCATAGAGAATTTGCTCACTGGTTCCGCAATCGTGTGAGTTTTTGTACAAAAATAGATGTTTTAATTGAATTGGATTTTAATAATAACAAGACTAATTAGATGTTGTATCGTGTATAGATTTGCAACAATCTTGACAACATTCATGGACCAGATAAAGATGTTCTCATTAGCCTTGCTTATGGCCCTTTTGATAAAGTTAAAAGATTTACTGCGTTCAATGTCAATGGATTCAAATTTCGAACATTGGAACGAGATAATCTTTTAAAAACTCAAAATAGTGGCGTTTTTGGCTTGTTTGGGACGCGAAGTTATTCAAGCAATAGTGATACCCAAATGAGATTTGGAGGGGTCCCTTACTATGGAAGATTGGTAGACATTATTGTGCTTTCCTACGATGGCTTCACAGTGCCCATGTTTAAATGTGAATGGGCTAATACCACAAACCCAAGAGGCATTAAGATAGATAAGTTGGGTTTTACTTCTATAAACTTTACAAAACTACTACATTCTGGGGAACATGAAGATAATGAGCCGTACATTCAAGCGTCAGAAGCTCAGATGGTTTTTTATGTGGATGATGAGAATGAACAAGGGTGGAGCATACCTATTCATTTGAAGCCAAGAGACTTGTATGACATGGGTGGAAATGATGAAATTATGTCACCCATTGAGCCATATCCATCACAAAATTTGGAACAAATTTTTTCGAATGATGATATTGGAACTTCATCAGCAAATGATAACAATAATTAACATATAGTTTTTTTATTGATAAGAAATTTAGTTTGTTGCTATAATTAACATTATTACTTTATGTTTTTTTGTTGTTTATCCATAATTAATGCGTGAGATGACATTACTATTCTATATTTTATTGCATAAATTATTCTTTTAATTTATTGTGTTTGCGTTATGTTTATTAAATTTATAGTCACTAATATAAAATTTTGATGTTTACTATTATTAGTGTATTGTCTTTTTAATACATATACTTGCAGTTGAAGCCTTTTGTGAGACAATGATTTCATCATATGAGGAAATTCGCCTCAAAAGGATTGCAGAGAATAAGAAAAAGCTAGAGGCTCTCAATCTTCCAAAGCTCTCTCAATCCCTTCACAAAACACCTTCGTCTTCTTCCAAACCATCACCGGTTAGTAATAAATTCTCAATACTAGTCTATAAAAATTAATTGTATTAATTGTTGATTGATATTCACTGATGTATTTTATTTAGCCTGTGAAGGGTCGTCCAAGGTTTGTACAACCTGGAGAGCTTGAAGTAAATAAGAAGCGCCTACGTTCAGCTACAATGTGCAAATCATCAATAATCCCTCCGCCAATCAAAACTACAATAACTCTTCCGCCAATTCAAACTAAAATTACCCCTATGCCAATTGAAACTACAATAACGCATTTGCCAATACAAACTACAAAAGATGTTGTGATAGAAGATGAGGATGAAGATGTTGTGGTAGGAGACGAGACCGAAGATGACGTGGTAGGAGATGAGGTTGAAGATGTTGTGGTAGGAGATGAGGCTGAAGATGTTGTGGTAGAAGATGTGACTGAAGCTGTTGTAAAAGTGGCTAAATCTGTGTATTGGGATGTAAATGTCATTAGTAAGTAATTTAAGGTTAAAGTATTTGTAAATAATTTAATTTTTTTACATAGTTGAGTTATGACACTAATTTGCTTACTTGTTTATGTGATAGATGAGGAAGGTTATGTTTCAAATACACGTTTATGTGTGAAAGACTTGGTTGCAAAATCAAAGTCTGATGGAACATGGATAATACTTGAATTTGATAAGGATCATTGTGCAATAGGACCAGCTTCTGGTTTGTTAGCAGGGTATTTAGGTATAATTATTAGAATGTTTAAAGACTTTCCCATAATGTTCGAGAGTTGGAAGGATATTCCAGCGGATACAAAAACAAAGTTTTATGATTCAAAGATAAAGGTATCATTAATAAACAATTACATATTTTTTAAATTAATTTCAAGGTGATTATTATTTGCTTTGTTAACTAATTTTTATTTTTATGGTTAGCTCCACTTTCTTGTTGATGATGGGCGTGACAAAGAATTCATACTTGCTTCTGCTGCAAAGAAATGGAAGGATGGCCGACATCAATTGTTTCGCAAATTTTATAAATGGGATCTCAGTTTGGAGGAAAATCTTCAAAATTATCCAATATGCAGAGGCATTCTGGAAAATGATTGGGCTGTTTTTGTTCAATATAGGCGGAAAGAAAAAACACAGGTAACATTAGTGCTTTTATTTGTTAGATTTATCTGGTTTGTATGTTATCCCTATCTATAACGCATATTTTTAATTGTTAACTATGTAGAAAATAGCTCAAAAAAATGCCCAAAATAGAGCAAAATTGAAGACTCCACATACACTCGGATCTAAGTCGCTTGCAAGGAAGAAACATGAGTTGGTATGTCTAAATTTATATATATTTGAATGTATTACTGATGGTAAAAATAATTAATATATTTTCTTATTCGTAGGAATCGAGAGATGGACGAACATACAGTAGAGGAGAAATGTATGCAGTTTCTCATAAAAAGTCTGACGGATCTTTTGTCAGCGAAGATGCATACAATAATAATGTAAGTACAAGTTAATTCTTTTTAAATATGTGTTAGTCTCCTTAAGGTATGAGAAAAAATCAAACCTTTTGGCATCTCTTAAAGATGGGGAGAACCTGTCTGAAATCTGATTAAATTAGATTGAGAATTGTGATTATTTGAGTTAATTTTTTTTATTAGTTAGATTAAAAAGTTAAGTTAAGTTTGCTTGCTCAATTTACTCTTTTTCATGTGCAGGAAAAGTTACAAGCTGCAATTAAGGATTCTGTGTCTGAAAATGAGGCATTTCAGAAAGTATTTGGAAAAGAACAACATGGATATGTTCGTAGTATGGGACTTGGAGTTACGCCATCTCATATTAATAGATCTACAAGATCGGCATCTTCTTCTGCAGAAAATGAAAAAATAAAGGAAATGCAGCAAGAAATTATTGCACTTAAAGAAAAAAATTCAAAAATTGATGAATTGATGGAGGCAATCACATTCTTAAAGCAAAGAGACAATGCTATGAAAGAAGAAATTGAAGTCTTAATGCAAATGCAAAATTCTACTGGAAGACAGGTATATTATTTTGATGAATTTAAAGTTAAAGCTTCAGAGTATTATTTTAAAGAATATTATTTTAATATAATTTTTTTTCCAGGGATTGGAATCACCTACTGATGGTAGACGTTCATCTGAGTCTAGCTACCGAATTCCATAATGACATACTTTCTAGATTATGAACCTTCTTATTCATTTTTGGCACAATGATACTTATTGTTATAAGATTATGATTTGATATGTTTTCGGATTTTTGTATTACAAAACATGATTATGGAACTTTCATTTTATATGATTATGAAACTCACGGTTTTTTCGATATTATAATGTTTATTTGATATTAAGTTTTGGAATTAATTTTACTACGTTAAAAAGCGATAGAAAAAAATTATAAAAAAAATTATAAATAAAAATATTATTGTATAAATAATTTAAATAAAAGAATATATTATAAAATAATATAATACAATTAATACAAATTAATAATGAACTTTCAAGATATCACATTCACGACAGTTTTAAACCGTCACAATCAACAACGGTAACAAAAATCAAAAGGATATTCACGACAGTATTTAACTGTTGTCATTTCTAATTTATGTCAGTTCCAACCAGTCGTGAAATAGAGTTCACGACAGTTTTAAACCGTCACAATCAACAATGAAAATAAAAATCAAAAGGATAGTAACGACGGTCTTTAACCGTCGCCATCTCCAGTTTAGGTCAGTTCAAACCCGTCGTGAAAAATAACGACGGTTGTGTGTGACGGTTTTTTCAACCGTCGCTAAACAGCCTGGGGACACACGTTTCTGCGACGGTACTACAACCGTCGTAGAATGTAATTGATGGTGGTTTTAACCGTCGTAACCTGTCAAAATAACCGTCGTAATCCATCGTTTTTCTTGTAGTGACTTTTCTTTACCTAGCTTATGTTTCATTTCATTCACATCAGCATTATCATTTGCATTTCATTGACATGTATGCATGAGATCAAGAGGTATGATTACCAATCAAGAGCTACACAAGAGTTTGAAGCTAGCTAAGAAGCCTATTCAAGTGTTCAAGGGTAGATATCTTTGTCAGAGAAGTCAGAAGATCCTCAGAAAGAGTGGTTGAAACCAAGGTTGTATGCCTCCTAACTTGAGAGTTGTGGGAGCTCCTCGGATGATTCTGAGGCTATGAATAAGGACTTGAAGCCTTGAGAGAGCTTATGAGATGTCTTGAAAGCCATCATGAGGCCTAAAGAGGTCATTGTGCAAGGATAAGAAGACTCAGCCATGAGTGGTGTAATTAGGGTTTGACTGGGTCAACCCTAGGTCAACTGATGATTTGGACAAGGTTGAGACCTAATCCAAGAGCCATGTGATCATGGATTGATGCATTGAGATTCTATAAGGATGATTCCAAGGTCAACTCATCATGATTGAAGAGTTTGAGAGGTTTCAAGCTAGGGTTTCTAAGGCTTGACAATGTAAAATCCCCTAGTTTGACCCCTATCTTCAACGCAGTTTAGCTCAAGATGTGATTGTCATCTCATCTTGCCCCCAACATGAATGTTGTAGATATTGTTCTTAGATTTAATTTGAGTACTATAAGTCCTTGATAGGATTTGTAGAACTCAAGTTGTGACTTTGACAAGTTACAGGTCATCTGAGGTATGTGAATCTGGGGCCTTGAAAGTCACCCAACTTGCATCAAACTTTTGCCCAAGAAGGATGATTCCTATGGACTTTTGGTCAACATGAATGTTGTTCCTTATCTTCTTATATTTATAGAGAGTACTAGAAGTCCTTGATAGGATTTGTAGAGCTCAAGTTATGGCTTTGACAAGTCAAGGGCATTTTGGTCATTTGGAGATTATAGGTCATTTCAACCATAAGGCCATAACTCCTATTTCCAAGATTCAAATGGAAAAATCTTCAACATCAAACTTGTTCAAAATGATGTTTTAAGGCTAGTAAGGAGGTCATGAGATGTTGGAAAGGCTTGTAGCTCAAAGTTGCATAAATGACCTAAAATAAGGGCATAAGTTAAATAATCCAAAGTTGGAAATTGATATTTTCAACCTACACATCCAAACCATGGTATGTAATATATCATTTTGACTCTAGAAAATATTTTAAAAACAATGGTTTAGCTACATTTTTGATTTGAGGTCTAAATTGTGGACTTGCTTTGAAAAGCACTTACTTGCATATTAAGCAACACTTGCAAAACTCAAAATCAAGGCATGAGCAAGGCTTTTTGCAAGCTAAACACCTCTAATATCTCACTTGGGGAGATTTTGGAATGAGAACAAGTGGCTGTACCAAGGAAAACAGAATTGAGCATGTCATGATAAGTGATTGGAAATCTCATGACATGAGAAGTGGAAAATCTCATTGGAAGGATCTAGAGGGTTCTAGATCATCCAAACTTCATCTATATAAGGAGTAGAGTGGATCAGTTGAAGAGGTTGGTAATTATTGAAGGTTTGAGGATAGCTTGAGATTGAGTTTTCTTGGATTGCAATTGAAATCGGTTTCACCAAATTCCTCAATTTCCACTCATTTTCTTGATTGATACTTCTTCCATGGATGTCAAGGGTTGATTCCAGATTATTTTCAAGAAGAA